TCTGTTTCCGCGGGGCGTGGGGGGATGGTAAAGAGGAGTCCTTCGCGGGGGTTTTGGGGTTGGTCCGCTTTCTCGAGGCGGACCTCTCCCTCTTCCCCACCCGCGTTTTTCCCGCCCCCGACGTCGATGCCCGGGAGGCGTCCGCGTTGTTCGGCGTTACTACCTCCCAGGTCCTCTTTTCCGCGGGCGGGTCGGCCGCCGTCTCTCCGGGGGGAGGAGACTCCATTGGCAGCCCATCAGCGGTCACCTCTGGCATCTCCTCCTCCCGTACCACCTCCCCCGGTCTGTCGAGATTCTCCGTGATGAATGTGAGCTCGGATCCTTGGTCGATGAGTAGCCTTGCTTGATGTGTTGAGACCGTTGAGGGTATGCATGCCATTGCAGTTGCAAGTAGCGTTGAATAATGTGCGTGAGCTTGAATTGATTCCTTGACGATTGCACCTGATTCCTAGTGAGCTGGTGATGAGGCAGGTTGAGCAGGGGTCAGTGCAGCCGCAGACTGTTCCACATGCAGCATCGTATGATGTTTGGCTGAGCATGTCTTGCAGCTCAGCGCGGATCTGCATGAGCGGACATTGTGGCGCCCCAGACAATTGAAGCACAGCCTCTTGTCGATAGCGGTGGTCTTCCGTTGTGCTGGCGTGAGATCCCTGAACTTGGAGCACGTTACAATGAAGTGCTGTCCATTGCACAGGTCACACGGGTGGGCCGCAGCAGAGAATGACTGGGAATGTGTGGGAGCAGATACTTGGTGAGCAGTCGCCTTTTTGTTAGCAGATTTAGATGAGCTGGGTGTGACTTTCGATGAGTTGCCCGAGGAAGATGGTGCAGCCTCCACTCTCTCCAATGCTCTCGCCCTGGCATTGAGGAAGGTTTCAAACTTCGCAAAGCGCGGATACTCTTGAGATGATCCAAGCGAGGTTTCCCACGCCTCTCTGGTGTCTCTATCCAGGAAGCGTGACACGTGATGGACCAAGAAGCAATTCCACATGTGCTCCGCCATGCCAAGCGAACACAGAGCCTTATCAATCTCGGACACCGTTGAGACTAGCTTGGTGAGCGATGCGGCGTTCTTGGGTAAGGCATGTGAGAGGTTAAGGAGACCGTCAAGGTGAGCCTGTATAATGAGTCTCTTATTATCAAACCTCGAGGTGAGCAGATCCCAGGATGGCTGAAGAGATTCCCCGGTGAGAGGCAAACCTCGAATGAGCTGTTCCGCTGAGCCCTGCACACAGCCTCTGAGATAATGAAGTTTCTCCACGTCATTGAGCTTTGAGTGCTGCAAGATTACAGAGGAGAAAAGATCACGAAAGGTGGGCCACGTTGAGTAATCACCATTAAACTTGGGCAACTTAATGTCTGGCAAACGTGAGTGGACTGGCTTTTCCGGATCAGGAGAGGCTGCACGCGGTGAAGATGGTGTGAGTCGTTGTTTGACCTTGTTGAGCAGTAGCTTAGCTGAGATCACGAGATAAGCTTCCTTTTCATGGATGTTGTCCGCAAAATCGTAATCCAAATATGCCTCAGGCCATGTTATCTCGAAATAAGCGTGCTCCTTCAAGAACGCCTTGTGTAGCTCCTCCAATTGAGACAGCGCTGCTTTGACCTCCCCTAGTGATGTGCTCTCGGGGTCAACAACCTTCGCGTCTGCAATGAGTTTTATAGTATTGAAACGACTCATTTGAGATCTCACCTTGAGTGTGAGCTCGGTGGAGAGACGAGCTGGAGAAGTCTGACGTGAGCTGCGTCCTTGAGTGTTGCCAGAAGCTGTCCCCTTGGGGGCGGTCTGTTGACCAGGCACATTGAGGGTGAGAGGAGATTGCCGACCCGAGGTTGTCTTTTCCTCAGCATCTGCTTCCCAGTGAGAAATGATTCGTCGATCGATGTCGAGACGATGTCGAATCGACGTCAATTTGACGATATCGATGTCGATTCGACATCGTTTTGACATCGATCGACGAATCATTTCTCACTGGGTTTGGCGGCCTTCTCTGTGTCAGGCATGATGAGCGGAACACGGTGATAACACTACACCACACGATGAGCACCACTGAGCCGCACGAGCCACCGAACAGACTGAGAGCCGATATCGTTGGTTCGCCACGAAAACAGCGAAGTTCAAATTCACAGTCACAGCTGCTCGATTTGCCCGCGAGAATGTCACTTCGTTACTGCGTGATCCCGTCGTGACAACACTGAGATGGCAGCGAGTCCTTGTCACGAATGGCGCACGTGATCACAAGGAACCGCACTGAATTTATGCCGTACGCGAGATGAGAAAAGATCGAGTGCTCGCAAACGAATATTGAGTGTCACGTCACCACGATGCATCCGGCTCGAAGGACCAAATGTTTGGGAAATTTCCTCCCTTTCGAATCTCGTCATGAGATCTTTCATCGCAAAATCTCCGTGAGCGCTGCGAGTGGATCGGGGGGTGAGAAAGGACGTGCAACGTGGCGAGAATGACTACGATTCCGGTTCTTCAAATGAGTTAACTGTTTAATTGTATGTACACTATATACAGTTGAGCGTTACCGAGGCGTATGATTGAGGTGAGCGAGTCCGTCGAGCTTTCTTGTTCGCACAAGACCGTCGGGGATGTGCCGCCCGTTGAGCCGGTGGCCGGCTACAAGCGAGCGTGCACGTACAAAATGAGAGGCCTTTGCGCAGAACACCGATGCACTCGACTTGAGCACTTAACCAATGAGTCTGTCCAGGGGTGAGCACTAATTGTCAATGTGAGCTAACAAACACTGAGATCGCACTTGTTCCTGTGAGCGCAAGCGCGATACTTTTTGTCTGCCGATGCGAACTTTACCACAGCTTACAGCGGCTGCTTTCACACGACTACTGAGCTCTGTGAGCTTGCGCGCAAGCCCTCGAGCCATGTTCACGGGCCCGTCACGTGCTCGTTACCCGGCCGCGCGGTACCACTGGGCCTTGCGAATAACCGTGAGATGGCGAGGGCAGTACAACTGACAATGAGATCACTGGAGGAATCTCAAACAGTCTCATTAATGACTAAAAATTTTAATATCGGATTTTCAGTATTTGAAGATTCAATTTTTTCGTCAGGAAAGTCATCTGTCAGTGTAACTATATCAATAGCATTTTCATCGATGCCCAATCTTATTGATGTTTCTATGTGTTCTTCGGCACATTCAACTGCGGTCGCTTCTTGCTGACTATCGACAACTTCAAATGTCTCTGTGTTTGGAATGGATTCAACTTCATCAAAAATTGTTGGGATGGCAGTATCCAGTAATCGAGGACGTTTGTATGGAATCTGTATATCAAGTTTAATATTCTTTAATATTGCATTGTATAACAATAAGCAATGTAATTGAGATTATATTATGTTAAGATAAAATAAGACAAAATAAAATAAAATACACATTAATCCTACCCAGTATAAATTTTGATATCTAGAGAAATAATCCAATAAAATTAAGAAATCTGTGTTCTAGAAATACACATTTGATAAAATAATACGGAAACATTACACAACATGAAACATTTACAGAACACTATAATAATTTTTAGTGAAAAGCTATAGCAATAGCCATTAAGTTATCATTTGTAAAACTTTAGAATTACTAACCAGATTTTTAAATAATAAAAACACACTTACGTCGATAAGAACTTCGCCATTAGGACCTTGTTTTACTAGTCTTCGCACAATGTAATGTTTTTCAAAATGTTTTTCGCAAATACGTTGCTTCGCTTTCAAGCTGTCGATCCCCGGTATTGCGGCTTCCCATTTTTCTCGTACAACTTTGTTTTCAGGTACCGTGAAAAACGAGCACTTTTTTTCGCCTGAATACTTTTCCCGACACTTCTTGACAATGCACGTTTTTGGCATGTTCACGTATTTTATAGTAATATATATTTAAATCTTTGCTCGCTTCGTTGATATTTGTGTATTAGACAGATGGAAATAAAGCGCGTATATAACCTATCTCTGTCTATCCCACAGGGATCTCTAGATCGCAGCGAACCTAGCGAATAAAGTCCGGAACTACGATTTCGGCCACACTAATTGTAAGTGAGACTCCCCCCACCATTCGAAAACGAATGAGTTTCCAGACCTGTAAGACTTGTAAGACCGTGGTCTGCGGACGTTACTCGCCTTCGGGCGGCATACGCGTCTTCGGACGCTACTCGCCTTCGGGCGGCATTCTCAATTTTGGGCGTCATTCTCAACTTCGGACGGCAAACGCATTCAGACGCTCCTCGCTTCTGGCATCATACGCGTCAGCGGACGCCTCTCATTTTTGGGCAGTATATTTAACCAGTTTCTAGCGGTTATCATTCTTTTTCAGAACAGCAATAAAAACTTACTTGTATTGAGCTTATTACAACGTCAAACTTGTTATTTTTCGGACATCCTGGCGCCGCAACCAGAATTCATTGCGTTTGAAAATTAGTCATAATTATAATCAAACAATTCTTAATAACGTCAAATATTTTCAAAACTAAAAAATTCGTGTCGACAGCACGAATATCTCAAGTTATATTTTATTATATTTTATTTCTTTAAAACGGTGCAGTAAAGACTATTGAAACTTGGTAAATATTTTCATCTATTCGTATACTAGATGTATAAAAACATTCAAAACACTGGTACTATTTCTTCTACATTTTTATAGCTGTTTTATCCGTGAAGATCGGCTTTTCCCATAAGAGTACGTGTAAAATCAGTGTAAATTAAAATAGTTATATCTCAGCAACCGTTTAGTGGATGCATTTTTACTTTTCTGCAATAAATTAAGAAGACTGAAAGAACCATTTCACAAATTTTTAGCGACTTTGTACTATTTTGAAGATAGGTCCGATACATCCTTAAATATATATGCTTTTAACTGCCCTGCCGAAAATGGTCGATTAAAACGGATTACTTTTTAATCCGTTTTAATCCATTTTAATCGGTTTTAATCGGTTCAATCCGCGCCCAGATTAAAAAGTAATCGATTTTAATTTGGAACAAATTACAATCAGTTTTAATATCGCTTTCGCGGATTATTTCTAATCCGAAATCATTACATTCTAAAACCTATTGTTAGTCCAAATAAACACAAATAATCGGATGGATATATAATCCAAAATAATCAATCTAATATGCAATTTTAATTCATTATAATAAATATCCAATTTTTAGTCA